GGGGGGGGGGGGTGTCCTGGTGGTTTAGTGTCCTAGAACCGTCTTAAACCAATTTTATTTTCACTTTCATAGTTTTATCTTCAACCGCTTGTACATTTAACTGTCTTGGGTGTTCATTAAAATGTTTTTACTAGCTTGTAGCCAAGATTCTGATGTTTCTGTAGATACCAAACATGTCTATGTTTAACTAAAAGAACTTATAGTAATTAAAGTTTAAAAAAAACGGGGGTTTGGGCTTAAGAGATGAATGAACCAATTGGAGGGCCGAACTTTGGTCAGTTGCAGGCCGGATGTGACTCGTGGGCCACCAGTTGAATAGCCCTGTTGTAGAAGAATGAAGAGTAGTTTCAGTGAGCTGTAAGGGTGAGTGTACTGTATGTCTGTGCACATGAATGCAGTCTGGTCATTTCGCACAATCAGATGTAAAGATTTGAGTGCAGCTGCTCAACTTTTACAGTTTATAGCTCCTCTGCTCCTCGGCTTGCTGTCAGCTGCATCCTTTCAGTCTTTGAGGAGAATTATTTTTAGTTTAGTCGAGTTTCTTTTCGACCCATCTGATTTTACGTCATGTTTGTTTCCCAGGTTTGCTCTGGGAGACACTCGCAGGCCTCTGCATGAAACGGCAGCACTGGTGGAGGACATCGTCCACACGCAGCTCATTCATATGGTAAGAGACAGAAAAGCAAAGCTTCCAGCTGTCCCTCTGTAGTCCTGACCCTGTCAAAGAGTTTCCAACATGTCTCAGGTTGATTTAATCCTCTGTGTGCCTTCAGAGCTGAAGCAGGGTTTATTGTTGCGCCTCACATGGTCTCCCAGGTGTTTTCTACCTGAGCGACACGTTGAGATGAAAACCTGTGTGTCTGAGCTGTGTGGTGCTGATGCTGTGGGTTTTTCCCTCAGCTGCATCAGGCCTGTGAAGGAACTGCACTCAGAGGCTCCAGGGTCATCTCAGCGGAGGACATCCTGTTCCTGATGAGGAGAGACAAGGTAGGAGACCACCTGCAGAATGAATCAGGAGTTTCCTGTCTCTGTGGAGCTTCAATCCTTCTGTTTTTCTTTTGTTCATCAGAGGAAACTGGCACGATTGATCAAATATCTCCAGTTTAGAGATTATAAATCCAAGCTTCTGAGAACTGTAGAGGATGAGGAGATGGTGCAGGAACCAGGTAACAGTCTGACTTGTGTTCAAACACAGGCTGAAGAGTTCTTCAGATGTTTGTCTCCCTGTCAGGAGGTTCTGCTGCTGGGAACCAGCGGAGGCAGCGACTGGCTCAGGACTTCCTGGCATGGATGGATCAGACCGGAGTACTTCTGTCGCTGGCTGAGCGACAGGAAGTAGATCCTGTTAAACAGGAGAGGATGGAGGTCAGAGGTCACCTGTTATTGTTCTGTCAGGGAGGTCGATGATGATGATGATGTTAGCTGAATGTGTGTCTGAATCGGCAGCGTTTGGAGCGTCAGACCCGGAACATGGACCCGGCTCAGTACTCAGAGTTCTGTGAGAGTCGACACCTCAGCTTTGGTGAGAATGATAGTCCCTGTGCTGATCTTTAGTTTTGTAGTTTTTGTCTGACGTTAACTCTTTTGCAGCCAAGAAAGCCTCCAAGTTCCGGGACTGGTTGGACTGCAGCAGCCTGGAGCTGAAACCCAACAGCATGGCCATGGAGATCCTCTCATACCTGGCTTATGAGACAGTCGCCCAGGTAAGACCAGCCACTGATTGAAGGAAGTGTTGTACCTTCACTCAGTTAACCTCTGCTAAATGATTTGGATGTTTAAAGCTGCTGTAGGCAGAACTAATTGTTACAACCCTGACTTATAGAGTTCTGCTGTTGTTGTTCAGGTGGAACAGGACCCAGGTCTGATGAGGAACAAACAGTTAGTTTTTGTCTTTGATGGACAGAAGGCGCCTCAGATCAGGTGCAGGTGGTCTACTCATGATGCACACCTGTGTGTCAGTGTGGACTCAAAGAAGACATGAAACACCTGACTGTTTACAGAAAGACTAAAGATTTGTTTGGTCCTGAAACATCACTCCTGAGAGTGGGCAGTAAGGATCATTATCATACCGCAGTGCAGCTTTTAGAAAATAACACCGAATCTGTTATCTGTAGTGTGTTAAAGTGCCTGTGACATCAAATGTTTCTAATGCATTCATATTTATGAATGCATTTTTGGAAAGACAACATTAATCAGATATTACTTAACAAATTTCACGTCACTGAGATGAACAGTTGTTGAGATATTTGCATGTGAAGTCACAGGAAGTGATGTAAAAGGGGAATATTTGTCTGTGAACAGTGTTACTAACATAACTAACAACAGAGACTGTAGAGAAGAGTTTGATGTTTCTTTAAGTTGTTTTGAGTCACTATCAAAGAAGTGTCAGAGTTTACATAATAATGTTTTTTAATAAACAAAGACCAGAGAGTTCATTTTCTTTAAGAGTTCCCCTTTGATGTCACTTCCTGTTTCACTTTGGCTGAGCCAAGTCCAAAAGAAAATATGCCAGTTATGAGACAAAATGAGCAAAATTGTGTGTTTTATGCCAAGTTCCTTAAATATAAAGATGTTTTCTTTGACCTTTTGTATTTGAAGAATATGCATGTCACAGGCACTTTAAGTAATTAATACTTAACAAAGGAACAGCTGTGAACATTTACATGCTCACAGCTGGATATTAGAGAGATGTTCTGACGTGTTGCTGTCACTCAGAGCAGTACGAGTCACAAAGTCACTTTAGAGTTTAGAGTTTCATAAAAATCAGACTCTTACTATGGTCGCATCCACAGCAGCATGTCTCTGCAGAACATGGGGGGAGTTTCTTGTTGTGGGGATGGAGTTCACCCTAACCATGATACTCTGCTTCCTGGTCTGGACCCCGGGTTGTCAATTTCGGTGGTCAACAAAATCGTCCAGATTCCTAAAATGGAGAGCGGCTCCAGCCAAAGTGGGATGAATACCATCTCTCCACATCAGATCAGGTTTTCCCCAAAAAGGACTCCAGTTATCCTAGTAGCCCAGGTTGTTTTCAGAACACCACCTGAACATGCACCGTTGGAACGACAACATGCGACTAAACAGGCTGGTCAGGTTGGGGAGGGGACCAGAGAAAACTACAGTCCGACATAGTCTTTGCAAAGTTACACACCGAAGCAACATTAATTTTAGTGACCTCTGATTGACGTAACCTGGTGTCATTACGCCGATGTGAATAAAAATCTTACCGTACTTAGCGTTAGTCAGTCAGCAGTTTCAGGCAGGATTTAATGTCGCCCCCTCTGGCCCCCAGCGTGTATTTGACTGTGGTTGTTGGAGTCCTTAGCACCACATTTTGAACTATAGAGCTCCTGATTACCAGGGTCTGTCTCTCAGTGGGTGTGTCTCTGAGTGAGGACAATCGGTTTGAAGTGTGAATGAGTTGACATGAACCTGGAGCTTTGTCCTCAACACTATGCTTACTGTGGACTGTCACCCAGCCGGACCGGGGTCCCTGCCACACACGGTCTTCTGGAGGACAGCCACTGCTCCTGAAGACATGCTGGTGGGATTGAAAAGGTTAAAGAGGTATTAAAGAAGTATGACATGACTGGTTGAGGTCAACAGCACCCCTCCTTCAATGAGCACAGTGCTAGTGAAGTGCTGCTTTCTCCTCATCAACCTCCAAATGGTTTGCCAGGACCTCTTCAGAGCCCATTGAGAGTCTTTATTTAAAACCTCACCAAACTCCTCCCACATCCAAGCTTCTGCCTCAGCAACAGCCCAGGCTGCGGCCCGTTTGGCCTGCTGGTACTCCTCAACTGTCTCAACTATTGAGGCGCGGATCATGTCCACTTGAATTCAATCTGAGTTGAAGATCTTTGTGATGGGTTCTTCACTGCACATTTGGGTCTACTGGGTTTGTCCAGTCTCCTCCCCCACCATCTGATCCAACTCACTATCAGATCCTCTCTTCACCCGAGTGTCCAAAACATACAGCCTCAGATTAGATGATATGACCACAAAGTCCATCATCAATCTGTGTCCTGGAGTGTCCTGATCCCATGTGCACTTATGGACACCCTTACGTTCGATCATGGTGTTTGTGATGGACAAACTGTGACTAGCACAGAAGTCCAACAACAGAACACCACTCAGGTTCGGATCAGAGAGGCTGTTCCCCCATGTCACTCTGTCTTTACCCACATGAGCATTGAAGTCCCCCAGCAGGATAAGAGTCCCTAGCTGGAGCACCTTCCAGGACTCCAAGAAGGCCAGATACTCTGAACTGCCTCACAGCACATAGACACAAATGACCAACAGAGCCTGTCCCCCCACCTGAATGTGCAGGGAGCTACCCTCTCATCTACTGGAGGAAACTCCAACACACAGGCGCCCAGTCAGGGGGCCAAGAGTAGACCCACACCAGCTCAGCACCTCACCATGGGCCACTCCAAAGTGGAATAAGATCCAGCCCCTCATGAGGAGATCAGTTCTGGAGCTCACGCTGTGTGTTGAAGTGCGCTCAGCTATATCTAGCTGGTATCTCTCCACCAGTCAGGCTTCTCCCCCACCAAGTAAGGGGTCTCTGCAGTAGGTTTTGTCCTGTGGGCGGAGACGGCCCTACTCTTGATTGGCGGAGGTTTTGATGTGGGCGGAGAYRGCCCTACTCTTGATTGGCGGAGGTTTTGATGTGGGCGGAGACGGCCCATGAGACGTGATTGGTCGGATTGACGGTGGGGTTTGAGGAGGCTGGAGGCAGCGGGGAGTAGCTTGGTCGAGTCGGGCAGGAAGCAACATGTTTTCTTCTAGATTAATTTTAGTCATAACTTGAGAAAGGAAAGTGCTAGCTGTACAAAATTTGAACGTCTTACATGTGAAGGGATGTGTAACAATATGGCTCAGTCAAACATCCCTAACCAGCCTGTAAAAAAATCTTGATTTTTAGCAATCTTTTTACAGGCTGGTTAGGGATGTTTTGACTCATACCCCACCGTCAATCTGACCAATCACATCTCTTGGGCCGTCTCCGCCCACATCAACACCTCCGCCAATCACGAGTAGGGCCATCTCCGCCCACATTAAGACCTCGGCCAATGACGATTTGGGCCGTCTCCGGCCACATCAAGACCTCCGCCAATCACTACCAGGGATGTCTCCGCCCACAGGACAGCACGTTCTGCAGAGACCCCTACTTGCCTCCACCAGAGAGGTGAAGTTCCATGTCCAGAGAGCCAGCTTTAAGCCAGGACCAGAGGGCCAAGGTCCTCGCCTTTGGCTACCGCCCATAGCGTCATGGTCCCTCCTGAAGTTGGTGGACCCACAGGAAGGCAAACCCATTTAGCTCATATGGGCTGGGCCCCATGGGTAGAGACCCGGCCCCCAGGCCTGATTCCAGGCTGGGACCCCAGTGACCCACATCCAGGCAAGAGACACTGAGCTCCTTGACTTTGTACATCCATGTGAGTCTTACAGACATCATTTGTACTGTACCAGTGTTGTTTTTAACTCTGTATCATTTATTGTCTCTGAAAACGGTCAGCTGCTCTCCAGGTCTCCAAGCCGAACAGAGATATACACCATAAATTATCTTTAATAACAGTAATAATGGGTTTTCTCATTTATACTATTTCTCTGAATGTTTGGAGCCAACATCTAAATGAAAGCTAAAATGTGGTTATTTGTTTGGCCTTTCATAGCTTCACTGTTAGAATCCTTCTTTCTACTTCTCCAGATTGTGGATTTGTCCCTGTTGGTGAAACAGGAAATGAGTGTGAAGACGAACCCTGTGAGTCATGTGATCTCTGCCAGCTACATCCAGTACAACACACACCCTGAGGTGAACCAACACACACACACACACACACACACACACACACACACACACACACACACACACACACA